CTCTCACGTGAGATGTGCTGACGCCGGATTTGCATCCTTGGCCGGGTGCTGCAAGGGCAGAGTGAGCTGGGTCACCTGCAGCTTTTGGTCTTCTCTCCCCCTCCAGGTCATCTCTGACTTCGACATGACGCTGAGCAGGTTCGGGTGCAACGGCAGGCGCTGCCCCACGTCGCACAGTGAGTTAAAAAAGCCTTGCTGTCGGCTTTTCCTGCCCCTAATTCCGGGGGGTTTCTGTGTCTGTATCCGCAGCGGGTGCTGCTTTCACAGCCCTCACCTCCAGGCAGCCCAAAAACCATCTCCTGGTCTTTGTGCTCCAGCTTTGCAGACGAGACTCGCAGATGCTCCTTCCCTTTCTCACGCTTGAATCCTAAAACTTTCAGCCTTCACGTTGCTGGGCTACAAAAAGGGAATTTTGTCTTTGCAGATATCCTCGACAACAGTCGTGTTGTTAGTGAGGACGGCAAGAAGAAGGTAGGTGCTTTGCAGGGCTCTTCATCCCCATGGCCCATCATCTTGGGCTTACATTGGCTGATGATAACAGAGGGGAAAGTAAAAATGAAAGTTTCATTTGCATACTCAGCTGTGGGCTTTTTTGGCCTGATAAGAGCAGGAAGCGTGTCTGCGTACTCCTCTGTACCTGGAGTGTTTGGGCCAAGAGGAGACGCAGCCAAGCTAGCGGTGGATTAACTCTTCCTTCAGAGATCCCCAGATTTGCTCGGAGTGAAGTGGTTTTGGCGGCGTTTTTGTTGTGTATTGTGTTGCTTTGGGGGAATTCAGAAGTGCTGCGTCTGCTGATTACGGTCTCTTTGGACTCAATGTTCGCTCTGTGTTCTCACTTGCGTACGATGTTCCAGTTAAAGGATCTGCTGCACTATTACTACCCCATAGAAATCGATCCCAACCGGACCCTGGAAGAGAAACGTCCCCTGATGGTGGAGTGGTGAGTGCCTACCCGTGGTCTGCTTGTTTCCTTGGGGAGCATTGGGGGAAACAGGAGAAAAAGGGAATTCCTGAGCCGAGGCCAGGCACAGAGGAACGTGCTGAGCCCTAGAAGTGGTTCCTTTTGCTTGTAGGGTCCCCTTTAACATTTTTTGGGTGTGTGGCACGCGCTCACCTGATTGTGCCTGTCACACCCAGCTGGCAAATAATTTGAGTCACTGGATAAAAAGCAAAAGCTACAAGATCTTGAAGAGAAGGGGGGGGGGGCTGTCCTTGTTGTCCTTGCCTTCAGGCACGGGAGTGGTGGTGCTGGATCCCTGGCACGGGTCTGATTTCCCTGCACGCTGGTGCCTGGTGTTGGTGCTGGCAGCTCCCTGGGTCTCACAGCATGTCCCAGGGAGCTCACCCTGCTGCCTTTCCCTAGGTGGACCAGGGCCCACGACCTGCTGTCACAGCAGAAGATCCAGAAGGGTGACATCGCCCAGATAGTCAGGGAATCGGACGTGATGCTGAGGTATGTGCCGGGGGTCGGTGCGCTGCCTGGGGCCCTTCCTCCCCTGCAAGTAGCTCCCCCAAGGCCATGTCACCGCTCGTGTTTTCGGAGAAGAATCTGGGGGGAGCTGAACTGATTTCTCACTTCACCTGCTCGCTCTGATCCTCACGCCGCCCCCGACGTGCAGCAGATGCAAATCTCTCTTCCTTCCTGGGGCTGAGCTTTGTGACAGAGCCAGACGCCAGCACCACCAGCTGCAGCCTGAGCTCTGCTCCCCGAGGCTGCCCGGCTCCTGGGCTGGCTCCTTCCTGCCCAGAGCCTCTTCCATCTCCTTTCATCTTGGCAAGGAGCACCCAAACGAAGCTCCCCGAGCCTGGGCAGGCAGCAGGCAGCTCCCCTCTTCCAGAATAGATTTTCTCCCCGCTCACTGTAACTGCTGAGCCTTATCCAGGCCCTTGACTCAGGAAGCTCTCAGGGGGCTCTGGGGGCTCTCAGGAGACTCTCGGGGGGCTCTGGGGCTCTCAGGGGTTCTGGGGCTCTCAGGAGGCACTGGGTGAATGGCTCACATGCCTCACCTTGCTCCAGTACCTCCCCGCAGGGTTGTTTTGTTGAGGTGAGGTCCGGTGGCTTTGCTGTGCACCCTCAGCGTGCACCCCAAAACCCCAAAGCACCGTGATTTTTGCAGAGCAGGCACAGGCTTTTCTTTTTGGGGAGTCCCAGGCAGAAATGTGAGCCTTGGAGCTGAGAGCGTTGGCAGCCCACCATGCACAGAGCACCTCTTGCTGGGAGGGAGTAACGTTAATACCCTGTCACGGACGCTTCTCCTCCAGGGATGGATTCAATGAATTGTTTGATCAGCTGTACAAGTACAACGTCCCCATATTCATCTTCTCTGCTGGCATCGGCGATGTCCTCGAAGAGATAATCCGGCAGGCCAACGTCTTCTACTCCAACGTCAACGTGGTGTCCAACTACATGGACTTCGACGACAGCGTGAGTCCGTGCAGCGAGCCTGCAGGGGGGAGGTTTGGGAGGCTGGAACTGGGGGCTGTGATAGATTGAACAGACACTCTGCTAGGTTCAAAGCTTCCCATTAAAATTATGAAGTATTGGATCCCTCTAGGTAGGACCGGCCCTTTTCTGGGTCATGGGAGCACCGTAGCACAGGAGCAGCTGAGCATCGATGCTCAGGGTTTTGTGGGTTCCTCGTCTTCCAAACTTGCTTTTGGAGGCTGAAGGTGACCTGTGTGTCTGGGTATGCCCCGGGCTGGATGCTGGTCCGGCGCTGCACAGTCAGCATGGAGTTAACCGGCCGCAGAGGTCTCCCCTGATCCGAAAGCCAGATGTCCTTTAAAGCAGCTTGGAAGGCCTTTGTTGATGTGCGAAAGCCTGAAAAGTCCCAGTTCACATTAGAAAATGACCCGCTGTGCACAATGAAGCCCTCTGTTCCCATGGGTGGTGTGCTGGGGCCGGCAGCCTCCGGGGGAGATGGGGCAGGGGGGCACTGCCTCCCTCCTGGGGCTCCCCTGATTGTGGCTTTCCACGGCCCCTGAAGAGCACCAGGGCAGTACAGAGCCTAGCCCGAGATCTCCAGGATCCTTCGGGTTCTCACCATATGGAACAGGCTCATCCTGCAAAATGGGGCCCTTGGGGCCTCTCTCCCCAGTGTTTCGTGGCTCCTTGGGCACGTCTCGGAGACGAGAGCTGTCATTCTGCTGAGCGTCCCCACCTTATCCCCCTCCCAGGAGGGGGTCTGCGGCTGCAGCACGGCGAAGGGGTTGCTTTGGGATCAGCGTGGCTGTCCTGTTTTGCACAGGGAGTCCTCAAGTGCTTCAAGGGACCTCTCATCCACACTTACAACAAGAACAACAGCGTCCTGCAGGGGACGGAGTATTTCCAGCAGCTGAGCAGCAGGACGAGCATCATCCTGCTGGGGGACTCCATGGGGGACCTGACGATGGCAGACGGGGTTCCCAGCGTGGAGAACATCCTCAAGATCGGCTTTCTCAATGACAAGGTGGGTGTGAGAAGCAGCCTTCTTGCTGCCAGAGCGTGGGGGATGCTGGATTTGTCTCAGCTCCCGGGGAGCGTGCAAGGGAGCTTTGGAGCTCTTGGTGTGCCTTCAGGCATTTTTTTTGGGGTGGTTATTGAGTTATTGGCCCTTCTTTTCTATAGCACCAAGAAATGCAAGGGGTGTGGGTGCAGCATCTTCATTCTCAGCTGTTCACAATCCTCTTTCTCTGTGGTCCTCTCCTCTTCTCCCTTCCCTGGTGGCCTCACGGCAGGTGGAAGAGCGGAGGGGGAAGTACCTGGACTCCTACGACATCGTTCTGGAGAGCGACGAGACGCTGGATGTGGTCAACGGTATCCTCCGCTACATCCTCCTGGAGACATGAGCTGGGAACCTGGCATCCCAGCCCCGGCCAGGGGAACCAACAGACGTCCTTCCACTGGCAGAGCCGGGCTGGGTTTTCTGGTACCCTCCTGAATCCATCCTGGTGCCTGGGGCACTCTCCCTGCCCCGGCTCTCGTGTGTCGTGTCCATCCCGAACCTCGCCGCCTGTCCTCCTGGAAGCGGAGGGCTGAGATGTGGGAAGCAAGGAGCCTGCTCCTTGTGCCCCGTCGGTGCCTCGGCTCTGCTGCTTCCCCCTCAGACCTCATCCCAGCTCTGGGGGCCACACAAACCATTCAGGGCAGAGGCATCCCTGCGCTTAGCTTCAGCGGCTGAGCGCAGAAACGGAGGGGGTTTGCTGTTGGTCGAGGGCAGACCCGTTTTAGATCGAAGCTGTTCACTTTTAACTGCGTTCCCATCTAAGAAAACAAATTTCTCTCCCGATGTCCTGTGTTCTGTGGCTTTGAGGTGCTCAGGCTGAGCTCCGGGCACCTCTGGGCATTGCCAAGCAGTGCTCCTGCTGCCAAAAATCCACTGATCCCTGTGCCATCAAGTCTCAGCCTCTGCTCCCTCTGCTTCTGCGTGGGTGCAGGACCCATTGCCCACCAGGGATTTGGGGTGGGAAGGGAAAGGGGAAAGGAAAAGGGAAGGGGAAAGAGAAGGGAAGAGTTTGGGCAAATGCTGCAGCAAGGCTGGGGCTGGGAGCAGCGTTTGAAGCCCATGGGTGGGATTGGGGAGGAGCAGCCAGCTGCGGTGTGGGGGGTTTTGGGGAGCATTTTAGGTAAGGGTGATTCCATCCGAAACTGCTGGGCTCGTTCTGGGCTCTTGGAGGAGGAGTAGAAAGAAGCCCTTTTATTTTTGTGGAGCCTCTGGTGAAATTAATGAAGAGGAAAACTCTTGACAGCCCTGATGGCAAGCAGGCAAATTGAGACCCTGGTGTGGGAAGCTGCTCTCATCCTGCAGCATGTAACTGGTGGCACCTCTTGGCCTGTGAGCTCCGTGTCCAGCCCTCAGCTCGCTCGCTGCCCTCCGTGTGGGCTGAGAACATTTAATTTGTGAACAGCACAGATTTCCTTCTCTTAGATGAAATAAAAGACCCAGGTGAGTTCTCCTCGCACCACTGCCCAGCGAAACGCGGATGTCTCATTGCAAAGTAACCTGACACAGAGGGAAAAATTCTGGAAACCAGTCAAAATCATTTATTTGGTGCCCTGTCATCATTAGAGGGGCTCACTCCAACTCTTTGCACAGTTCTGGTCTCGCCTTTTTTAATCTCTCTCTGCGAGGTCACACAGAGCCGGAGGGGAGGTGATGGGGACGTGCTGGGACAGACCTGAGAGCGCCGTTCAATTAGCTGCATTTAGGCATCAGAACCAAACGGGGCTGATTTTTCTCCATCCCTGCTGGCTGCGGCTGTGGGGTGGGGAGGATGAGGAGGACACGAAGCAGGGGATGTCCGTGGGGCATCAGGGTTTGATCCTGGGAACCTGAGCCACCTCCAGCCCGTGTCCCAGGGGAAGCAGAGGCTGGGCCAGCAGCAGGGACCAGCAGGGAGGGCCCCTCTTTATTTCTCTTCTCCTTTAAGAATTGGTATTTAAGTGTACTTAAAACTAACAAAAACGAAAGAAACCAACAAAAAACACCCCTAAACTACAGCAATACGGCTGAGATGGAGGGGAAGATCCCCACTTCCCTGCGGCATCGCAGGAGGTGCAGTCGCTGGCCAAGGACAAGGGAGAGGAGCTCGGGGACAGCCTGGGGAGGGGGTGCCACTGCCCTGACCCCCCCGTGGGGCACCGAGAGCAGAGGGGTCGAGGCAGGGCTGGGGGCAGAACCGGCAGCAGAGGGGACGTGGGGCAAGGCTCGAGGGGATGGGAGGACACGGGGCAGGGTGGGGAAATGCAGGCACTGCCCCCCCCGGGGGGCACCGAGATGCCCAAGAGTTTGGGTGCTTCCCACCTGCTGGTCTGGGCGCGTTACCTGGGGGCTGGTGAGTTTTTGTGTCCGTGAGGAACACATCAAATCCCCCTCAATTAAACAATGGGGGGGCAAAATATTGTTTTTTGTTGTTTCTTTTTTTTTTTTCCCCTCGCAAGGGGCAGGGGCAGGTTCCCAGCTGGCTCCCTGGGGAGCCCGGCCATGGCAGTGGCAAAGGGCAGTCCTGTACCCGGGGGGGAGCGGGGGCTGCACCTCACAGCTCCTCGTGGATCTTCTCCTGGTCCTCATCCGACTTCAGCTTCAGCTCCTCGGCCGTGATCTTCCCGTCCTGGTTGCGGTCCTGGTTCTTGAACATGTCGGCGATGACTTTGTCGGGGTCGGAGCTGGGCATGAGGCGCCCCTTCCCTTCTGCCACTTGGGTCAGGATGAAGGTGGAGAACTGCAGGGGGGAGAAGGGACAGGATGGGGATGGGGATGGGGATGGGATGGGATGCTGCTCTGCTCCGGGCAACAGCAGGGACACGAGAAGAGGCTGCCCCCACTGCCCCAGCCCCACTGCTCCCCATTTCCAGCAGCGATGCTCCAGGCCTGGGCATTTTTCCTGCCCAGCGCTCCCCAATGTTTGGGATCAGCCGCATCCTTTGGGTGCTGCCCCCAGGGGTGGGCTCCCCGTGCCCCCCTCATCCTCCCGCACCCCACAAGCCCCCCGCGAGGTTTGGGCACCTCATCGGCGGGGATCTGCCCGTCCTTGTTGAGGTCCATCTGCTCGTAGAGGTTCTCCGGCGGGTCCCCGTGCCAGATGAAGAGGTAGCCTTCGGGAACCCCCTCCTCCATGGAGATCAGCTCCACCTCGAAGCGGAGCACGGCGCTGCCTGGCACCCCCCGGGCTGCAAAACAAGCGAGGGCTCTTGCACCTGATGGGCAAAAGCCTTCCAGCCTCCAGCAAGGAAAAAAAAAAAAAGGTGAGGGAGAAATGCTGAGGGTTTCAGAAACCCTGGGTTTGCTCGGCAGACGTGGCCGTGGTGCCCCTACCTCCGCTCTCCCCGTGGCCCAGGTGCGGGGGGAACGATGAGCACCCGCCTCTCCCCGGCGCACATGTCGAGGAGACCTCTGTTGAGCCCCTCGATCACCTTGTTGGTCCCCAGAGTCACCTCCTGGGGGCTGCCGTAGTCGTGGCTGCAGGGGGCACAGAGAAGACGGCGTGGCTGAGAAACCCCCTTGGACCCAGCGGGCTCCCTCCCGCGCACCCAAATCCTGCACCTTTCCCTCCCGTGCCCCAAAATCCTGCACCCCCCCCCCCCATCCTGCCGCCCCGTGGCCTGTGCCGCCGCCATCCCAGGTGCACGCACGAGGAGAAGAGCTTGGTGCCATCCAGCAGGGAGCAGTTGTAGTGGTAGCGGACAAAGTCCCTGTTGCGGGTGGTGATGTTGCAGCCCTCGGGCCGGTACACGGTCTCCATCTCCACCGGGTCGGCCGGGTTGTGGAAGTCGATGACGTGGACGTCAAAAATGAGCACGGCTGAGCCGGGGATTTTGTCCCCTGGAAGAGGAGGAGGAGCAGCGAGATCTCAGCTGGCTGAACACGGAGCTGGGAAAAAAAACCTTTCCCTGCAACCCAGCGACGCTGCGGTCCCCTCACCTGCTCCGTTCTCGCCGTAAGCCAGGTGGGGGGGGATGACCACCCGCCTCCTCTCCCCCATGCAGACCCCTTGCAGGCCCTGGTCCATGCCGGGGATGATGTAGCCCTTCCCGATGTAGGTGTTGTAGGTGTGATTTCGGGAGTAGCTGCAAGAAGAGAAGCATCCCGAGCACCCAGCACGTGGCCCTGCTCCCACCCAACCTCGCTCCATTTGGTAACGACTTTTTTTTTTCCTAATCCTTTTCCCTCTTCGTTACCACCCTCTCCTCCCAACTCCCCTGGGATTTTCCAGCTTCTCCTTGCGGGGTGGGAGAGGACCAGGGGTGCATGGGGACATCTCCCTGTGGGGCCGTTTCCTCGCCCCCCCATACCTGGAGTCGAAGAGCGTCCCGTCCATCAGCGTGCCGTTGTAGTGGTAACGCACAAAGTCCCCGGTCACAGCCCTGCGCTTGCAGGACTCCGGCACCTCCAGGTGCTCCAGGAAGACCCCATCCTTGGGGTTGTGGAAGTCCACCAGCAGCACGCTGAACACCAGCGAGGCTTGCGGTGGGATCACGGTCCCTGGAGAGGGGGGCACGGCTCAGCCTGGATGGGGGTCCCGTTCCCTGAGCAGGAGCAGTGGGGTGATGCCTGGCTTACCATAGCCCTTCTCCCCATAGGCTAGGAACGGGGGGATGATGATGCTCCTCTTCTCCCCGGCACACATGCCCAGCAGCCCCTGGTCCATGCCCTTGATCAGCCACCCGGTGCCCACGTAGGTGTCGTAGGTGCTGTCCTTGCTGTAGCTGATGAGGAGGAACCAGGAGAACAGCTCTGGGGCTGCACCAGCACCCCCCAGCCTGAAAGGGAGGCTCCCAAGTCCTGCCCCAGGCTGGCATCCCCAAGTCCCCACCGTTCCCAGTGCTCCCAGTGCCTGGCACCCAGTACCTGGAGTCGAAGGGGGTGCCAGTCGAGCAGCGTGCCGTTGTAGTGGTACCGCACGAAGTCCGAGTTCTCCACCGTGCGGTTGCAGTGCTCGGGTTTGGACAAGGTGGTGATCTGCAGCTTGTCGTTCTTGTTCCAGATGTCCAGCATGACCACGTCGAAATACAAAGTGGCATCGGGGGGGATCAGCCCCGCTACAGGGGCGGCAGCGAGGGCAGGGAGAGAGTTAGGGGAGGGAAAGGCAAGGGTGGGTGCCCTGCTGCATGCAAACGCAGAGCTTTAAAGCACTTGCAGCATCCTCCCCCCTCCCCTGAGCAGGACAAGGGGGGGACATTTGTGCCCTGATGCTCCTGTAGGGTGCTGGTGGATGGGGACCCGACCTGCCTGGTGCAGCTCTGAGCTCAAACCCTGCTGGGGGTCTCCACGGAGCCATTAGTGCAAGGGGGAAGGCGATTGCTTTTTTTTTTTGGGGTGCCCCAAATGCTGCTGTGTCCCAGCAACGCCTCCATCCTTTCCCAGCGCCTGCCGGGTGGGTGCCAATTCTCCTGTGCCCCCCCCATAATGTGGGTTTGCCCCCATCCATCCCCCCACAGCCCCTTACCCACGCCGATGCTGCCGTAGCCCAGGTGGGGGGGCACGATGAGGTGACGCCGCTCGTTCACGCACATCCCCTGCAGCCCCCGGTCCATGCCGGTGATCAGCCGCCCGACGCCCACCACGCCGGCCACCGTGGCCCCTCGGTCGTAGCTGGGGGCGAAGGGACAGACCCATGAGCACCGGGGGCTGAAGGGCAGGCTGCGACCCACGGGGGGCTGAGCAGCTCCCTCCGCCTCGCCCGGAGCACCCGCGCTGAATTTGTAGCCTTGCAAATTTCTTCCTTCAGCCAAAAATGTGCCCAAATCTCCTACCCCGTGGCAAGGCTGATGGCGGGGTCTGTGGTGCCCCTGCTAACCCTGGGCTCTCTCCCAGGTCTGGAATTCACGGTAACGAAGCATCCCCCAGCCCTGTCTCAGGGCACCAGCCTCAAGTTTTTCCCCCATCTCGCTGGGATCGGGGTCCCCCCACCCCAACCAGGGATCAATCCTGCCCTGCCCGCGGTGCAGCTGCACCCTCGGAGGTGGGGGAGTGCAGGATCAGGCCCCCCGGGTGCAGAGGAGGCAGGAGATGAATTTATTTGGGGCTGAACTCTCAAATATCCTCGCAAATTTTGCACGGCAATCTGGCCCGGAGGTCTGCGCGCTGCCGGGCTTGCTGTGGCTTCCCTGTAATTTTGTGTGTGCCACGTTTGCAGTGAGGAGGAAAGAAAAAGTCCCAGGCCTCATTTTTAAACTGCAAATTTGTTTTTATTTTATTTTATTATTATTATTATTATTACTATTTTTAATCTTAAAACACAGGCTCCGGGAAGCAACTGGGGGCCGTTCCAGATAAAGGGAAGCCCTTTATCCCATTTCATGTGCTGGGAATGCTTCTCCTGGAAGCACGCTGCAGTGCTCAGGACAAAGAATTATTTTAGCAGCAAAATTCCCCAGGCCCCCATCGCGTTTGGGGCGTGCAGCAGCAGGAGGGGCAGCCCGTGGCTGATTTCCTTTCTCTCCCGTTCACGCTTACAAGAAAATCGAGACAGGCTGAGCCGGGAGCAGAATCCCCCTGCTCTTTAGGGGTCTGAAAAATGCCCAGCTGGAAAGTTTTTGTTCCCAAGCCGGGCTAGGGCTGAGCTCCAGCACAGCCCCCTCTGGTCCTGTGCTTTTGCCCTGTGCCTGATCCTACCCCTCCTCGCCCCGGTGCGGATCAGGAGCTGCACCAACAAAACCCGGGTTTATAACCAGCGTGGGCACAGCAGGGTGGGTGCAGAGGCCGAGGAAATCCACGACCAGCAAGACCCGAAGCCTGTTAGGTAACGAAGGGATTTCGCCGCTGCCACGTCTCAAAGTGCTTCAGGTATTTTCTCTGCCTGTGCAGTACGTGCAAGCACACGCCTGGAGCGCAAAGCATCTCAGCCAGGGCCTGATCCTGCCCCTGCCTGGGATGGGCTTGCACCCGGGGGCAAATGGGAATGGGGCTGGGCTGGGGGCTGCAGCCCCTGACCTGGGCTGTGCCATCCTCAGGCAGCTCCCTTGGGGCCACCCCGGTCTCAGCCCCGCCGTGAGCACCCCCAAAATCCCCCCTCGGGGTCCAAGCTGCGGGGCACCGAGCGATGCAGGCAGGGGGGCTGACGGGAAAAGGCATCCCCTGGCCCTTGGGGCCGTGATGGGGGGGACACGCGGGGGGGGGCTGGGGGCAGCATGCAGGATTCCCCAGCGCGTGGGGCGGCCGCATGCAGCTGGTAAAGAGCCAAGGGCGATACCTGGAGTCAAACTTTTTGCCATCTTTAAAGGTCCCATTGTAGTGGTAGCGAATGAAATCCCCCATCTGGACTTCCCGCAGGCAGATTTTGGGGATATAGTATCTGTCTATCACCACGTCTTCCAGGGGGCCGGGGTCGCCCAGCCCCAGGACCCCCAGGAGGCTCAGCAGGAGGACGAAGCTGCCCAAGGCCATGGCGCTGGGAGGCTGCGGCCGGTTGGAAAGGCTCAGAGCGGAGAGGAAGGCGCAGAGGTGGGGCCTCCCCGGCCCCTCTCCCGCGCCGATGCGAGCTCAGCCCGGCCCAGCTGCATTTCTGTACACGTGTAACGGGGCCCAGCCGTGCTGCCCTCCGCCAGCCTCCCCACTGCACCGCCGGGGCAATTCCCCGAGCCGGCGGCAGCGGGGCAGGCGGAAAAAGTCACAGCGGCAAAGCTCCATGGCAAGACTTTTTTTTTTCGCCCCCTTTTTTTCTTTTTTTTCTTTTTTTTTCTTTCCCTAGGCAGTCCTTTCTGCAAAGGAAAAAGCTGAAGAGACCTATTTGGAAGCAAGTTTGTGCAGCTGGAGGTCCCATCCCAGCAGCCGCTCCGGGTCCTAGTGCTGCCTGCGCTCCTCCCAGCACCCACGGCTCAGGATGCTGCTTCCCACTCCCTCGCACTTACGGAATAGTAAATACAAGGAATTAACGGTTTTAATAACACCTACTGCTCTTCAGTCTGCTGCTGGCAGATCTTTTACTGAATGGCAATGATTAAAAATGTGAAACTGTCCCTGTAGCAGACTTTCACAGATCGGAGCGGCATCGAGTGCACGTGGATGTGTTGCCCCACATCCCTGCTGTCCCCCCAAACTGTTGGTGCTGTGGTAAGGACCCCCTGCAAGCCCCAGGTAGGAAATATGACAGGTTCTGGATCTGAACTGAATCCCAGCCTCTCAGAGGCTCCTGAGAGCAGAGGCTCAAGCAGAGCAGCATCAGCTGCCCTGAGCCCAGACCCAGGGTGCTCTGTGGATCCCTGAGGGTCCGTGCTTGGGCCGAGCCACCTCGGCATGGCTTGGGGGGACTTGGGGCTCTCCCCACTGACACAGTAGGGTCAGGGTCTGACTCTGGGGCAAGTGAGCTCTTACTGAGGGGGCTGGCATCCCAGGGGGCTGGCATCCCAGCTGGTTTGCTGGCGAGCTGCTAGTTTGCAGGGAGGTGCTGGGCACTGCTAACGGCCTCTGCTCCACAGCCAAAAATCTCAGCAGCTCCCTGGCTCCTGCCCCGTGCTGCTGCAGCTCTCAGAGCCACTGTCCAGCAGCAGCACAGCTCTGGGCTTGGGCTGGGGCCAGCGTGGCCGTGCCGAGGCCTGGCATAGGCTCAGCCCTGGGGTCTGGCACGGCTGCAGGGCGAGCAGCCTCCAGCTCGCCACTAGCCAGCAGCGAAACCAGCACCAGGCACAGCCTGGCTGGGGGGGTCCAGGCTGCGCAAAACCAGCCCCGAGCGCACCCCGGAGCCTTCCCAGGAGCTGCAGCCCCCAGGCTCACCCCGGCACCCCGCGCTCCGAGCCGCATCCCCAGGGAGGCGCAGCAGAGGGCGCAACCCCCCCCCAGCACCTCCCCGACCCCTCGCTCCTCCTTGCGCGCAGCGCGCAGCCCCCGCGGGCCTTGCGCCAGCCGCGCAGAGCCGCACTAAGACCCTGCGCGCCCGGCAGGGGCGCACCGCCCCTTCCTTCCCATCCCCTTTTCCCTTTCCCCGCCTGCCCACCCCTTGCGCGGGGCGCTGCGCGGGCATTGCGCGGCGGCTGCGGGGATGGGCGGCGCGGCGCTGGCGCTGCTGCTGCTGGTAGCGGTGGCGGAGGAGCCGTGCGCGGCGCAGTACGAGGAGTACAGCGTGCGCGGCTTTCCCGCAGCCGCGCTGGAGCCCCTGCAGCGCGCATACGCCCGGGCGCTGGCGCAATACGCGGGCGCGCACTGGGCAGAGAGCGCCCGGGAGCTGGAGGCCAGCCTGCGCCTCCACCGCCTGCTGCGCGACAGCGAAGCGCACTGCCACCGCCGCTGCGCGGCCGAGGGGGACCCCCCCGAGGACCCCCTCGCCGAGGGGGACCCCGCGGAGTGGGAGTGGGAGCGGGAGCTGCAGCTCTTCGGGAGGCTGCTGCGCCGCGCCGGGTGCCTGCGCGCCTGCAAGCGCGGCCTCCCCGTCTTCCAGCTGCGCTACCCCCCCGCGCAGACGCTGCGCGATTTTCAGCGCCGCCTGCCCTACCAGTACCTGCACTATGCGCTCTTCAAGGTGAGGCGGCGCGGCGTCCCGGGGGGGGGGCGCAAATGCCGCGCAACGGGGCGCGCAGGGGGCGCGCAGGGTGCCGGGGGCTGCCCTGCTCTTGTGGGTTGGGGGTGGGCGTCCTGCAGTGCTCTGGTCTTGCCTTCACCTCTTCCCCCCACCCCGTCCTGCACGGCCCCCTCCTCTGCCTCTCATTCTGCAGCTCTGTCCCGCAGCCCAGCCCTGCACCCCCCCAGTTTGCGCCCCTCATCCTGCACCTCCCCAGTGGACACCCCCATCCTGCATCGCCCCGTCCCGCATCTCCACTCTGCACCCCCAAAATCCTGCTCCCTGTCCATCCTGCATCCTGCTGCGCTCCCCATCCTGCAGCCCCCACCCCGTACCCCCCATCGCTTGGCATCCCCCCTCCCCAGGCTCCTCCATCCTGCCCCTGCACCGTGGCACGTCAGCGGCATCTGGGACACATCAGGCAGGATGTGAGGGGGTGTGCCTGCAACTGGGGGCCCTCGTGGCTGCCCCCCTCCACAGCCCTTCATGGCACTGGTCCCCTCCTCTCACAGCCCCTTCTGGGGGGTTCCTGGGGGCTCCCCGTGTCCCCCATCCTGCTGTGGGTACGAGCATCCCCCAGCACAGCTCTTCGTGGGTGCCCCTGTCCCACACTGGAGAGGTTTTCCTGGGGATTTCTCCAGGTCAGCAGTGCCTACGTTCTGCCTCCAGGCGTGGGCACTGAACCTGATGTCCCCAAGGTCCCCCAGCGGGGCAGAGCATTGCCTGGGGAGGGGGACACAGGGGCTGTCCCAGCTGGTGGAGCATGACCCGAGCTGGCGGATCCAGCAGCTCTGTGACCGCTGCAGGACACGTGTCGGGATGCTCCATCGGGGAGAGGCGCGTGCCCAGGCTCACGGTGCACACGTGGAGGGGTTGGTTTGAGGTGTCCTCCTTTGCCAGAGCTGTGCTGGCAAAGCTGTTCTCCCTCCCCAGATGCCACGGGTGTGCTGGGCCCCTGCTGTGCCGTGGGCTGGGCTGGCTGCTGGTGCAGAGGCTGCTTTAGTCCTCAGCGCTGCTGCCCCCCTCACCTGGCAGTGACGAGGGACAGCCTGGCCTAGATACTTAATGTGTTTTCCTCTCGGTTGCTCTGGCTAAAATCCACGTAACGGATGCTTTGTCCAACCTCCCCCAATCTCAATTCCCCGAAATTGCAACCTGAGAGCTCCGAAAAGCAGCGGAAGAGTGGGGGCAGCTCGCTGGGCTGGCAGCAGGGTTGGAGGAGAGGGGACACGTGGGACAAACCCGAGCCACGTGGATCGCTGCCGGTGGGACACGGGGGTCCCCAAGGGAGCTGAGCCATCCCTGCTCCCACCATGGGCATGGGGAGAGGTTGGCGGGTCTCAGTAGGAGCAGTTGCATCAGCTGGATTTATCTGCCTTGTCTGTGGTCCTGCATCCTGCCCAGCCCCTGCTGCCATGGGACAATTGGGCTTGGGGCTGGCACGGTGGGCACTGGGCTGTCCCCTCCTGAGGAGCAGCCTTCTGCCCTGGGCCACTTCCCTGTGCTGCCCCACAGCCCTGGGTCTCGGTCTGGGCTGTGGTGCTGGGTGCTGAGCCCCCACAGCCCCAGCATCTCCCCACCAGCCCCCCCATGCCTCCCCCCATCAGCTCTTCCTCTTCTCCCCAGTCCAACAAGATCGAGAAAGCCGTGTCCGCTGCCCACACCTTCCTGCAGAAGAACCCCAAGCACGAGATGACCTTGAAGTACCTGAACTATTACAGGACGATGGTGGATGTGGACGAGTACCTCGTCGACCTGGAGGCTCAGCCCTATGAGGTGAGGAGGGGACGGGGCTGGGGTGGGACAGGGACACCCCGTGGGGACGGGAGCTCGGTGCATGCCCGGCTGGCAAAGCCCATCCTGCTGAACCCAGAGGCATCAATCCCAGCTGAGCCCTGGCTCGCCCACCTTCCTGCCCCCAAAAAAAGCATCTCAGTAGGGCTGGTGCCCGGGATGAAGCAGTGTCCAGGGGAGCAAGGCAGGTCTGGTGTCTGTGCCACCCGGCATGAGGCTGGGCACCGTGCTTGGTGCTCGGCGAGGAGGTGAGCCGAGCCCTCTCGGTCCCCTGCAGCCGATTTTCGTGCGGTCGGTGAAGCTGTACAACAACGGGGATTTCCGGAGCAGCGCAGCCGACATGGAGCAGGCGCTGGCCGAGTACTACAAGGCGTACGAGGACTGCCTGGCCGGCTGCGAGGGTGCCTACGAGCTGCAGGAGTTCAAGGACTTCTACCCTGCCATCGCAGGTGGGTGGGTGGGTGGGCGAGCAGCGGTGGGGCTTGGGGCAGATTTGGGGCATGAAACCCCACTCTGACACCTTTCCCCAGATCACTTTGTGAGCGTGCTGCAGTGCAAGGTGGACTGCGAGACCGAGCTGACCCCCAATGTGGGCGGCTACTTCGTGGAGAAGTTCGTGGCCACCATGTACCACTACCTGCAGTTCGCCTACTACAAGCGTGAGTGCCAGCCGAGAGCTGGGGGGGCTGCACCCCTGGGGTGTGCTGGTGTCACCCACCCCCTCCCGGTGTCACCTTTCCCTCGTCATGCTGCTGCTGCTCCCTGCAGTGAACGACGTGCGGGACGCGGTGCGCAGCGTCTCCAGCTACATGCTCTTCGACCCGGACGATGCGGTGATGCAGCAGAACTTGGTCTATTACCGCTTCCACCAGCGAGCGCTGGCACCTGCAGGAGGAGGACTTCGAGCCCCGGCCGGTGAGAGACCCCCCCCCCAGACCCTCACCGTGTGGTTTGTGCATTTTGGGGGCCTGACGTGACCCCTGCTCCCCTTCCTGTGCCCAGGAAGCCGTGCGCTACTACAACCGGACGGCCGCCCAGAAGAAGATGCTGGACTTCGCCAGGCAGTACCTGCAGGCTGACGACGAGGTAGGTGACGGCCCTGGCTTGGGGCACTTTTGGGTCCTTCCTTGGGGAGTGCGACCCCAGAAAGGGCCATAGCAGGCGCGCATTTCCTCCCCATCCTGTGCTGCAGATGGAGGTGGATGACGGCGAG